CTGAGTGAAGGCTCTTTGTTGCTTCCCCACCCCGCCCTCTGCAGCCCCCTGGAATTCAGGCCGTCCCCCGACTACCTCCTCTTGCCGGCTGTCGGCCGGGGTTCCTTGCCGGGGGTTGTCCTTGGCCGTCAGCCCCCTCCCCGCGACCTCCTGCTCCCTAGAGGCTGGGAAAGCTCTCGGGCCTCCCGGGCGGCCCGGGGTGCAGAGGCTGAAGAGCCAAGACCTCCCAGGCGCCGGACCCACAGGCACCGGCGCGGGGAGCCGGGATGCGTGACTGGGCTCAGGGCCGGGGTAGGGGACTCCCGGTCTGCTCGTGGCCGGGTGCCCTCGAGCGGGACTAGTCTTCAGCTCGCCCTGTTGCTATCTCAGGACCGGGACGAGGGAGCCGGTGGGCGCCCGGGTCTGAACCCCCCGCCCGCCCCAGCTGCGCAGCTGCTCCCAGCGACTCCTCAGGGTTGGGCGGGGGTAGGGGAGGCATATAAATGTGAAATGTAGTCATCGTTGTTCTCCTCGGTCCTTTTCTTCCTTGAGGAAACCCAGCATGCTGTAGCTATTTAACGAGCTGTTATACACACTAGGTATAGGGATGACTTCATCCCCAAACGAACGCTGCCAACTCGCGGGGAGACGCTGGCGGAACCGTGTTGCCGCAGAGTGGAAGAAGAGAAACGCAGCCAGTGAAACCGCTAATATCGTCATTAGCAGAAAGGGAATCCCGGGCGGGGCGGGGAGGAATATGAACTAATGATAGTTTTGAATTTTCCGTCATTCTTATGGTCTTGAAATCACCTCCTTTAAAAAGAAACTATAAAATACTGGGGAGACAAAGTTATTTCAACTAAAGGAGGGGGGGCCATCGAGGAAGCCAAATTTATAGTTGTGAGAGTTTTGGGGTATCTAAAAACAAGTTCAATAGGCAAAAAAATTTCACTTGGTCTAATTACTGCCACGTATTAGTCCCGAAAAGGGGGATGTATTTTCTTTGTAAAAGATAACTAGAATGGAAGGGGTTTGTTGCTGCGGGATTCCCATTGGTGGAGGATCTAATCCAAAATGGAGGACCTGCCATGACTCCAGAAATCCATTCAAAAGTTTTGGTGTTTTCAGGTGCAGGCACAGTTTCAAATGATAGTTATGAAGGTTGGGATAATGTACACTTACAAATGAAAAATGGACAAGTTATAGTCATTCATGGTCAATGCCTGACTTGTCTGTAGTGGAATTGTATAGGCCACTTTTAACTGTTAAAAACTACCTAGTTTCAGAGCTCAAAACCAAGTTATTTTCTTTTTGGAACCTGCAGCCTCAGACCAACAGCCTGTAGAAGCAGTGACCTAGAGCTATGGCACAAGACCAGGGTGGCCTCAGGTAGTGAAAAGCATGATGCCTCTGCCTTAAACATGGTGTACTTGAAGAACACTAATTTCCACCCACATAATGTAATTACAGCTTACCATCGCAGAGAGCATTTTATTCAAGAATCTCCAAGCACTAGAGAGAAAACACCTTTGCGAGTCAAATGTCCTTTTTGCCAAATTGCAAGTAGACACAGAGAAATATAGAGCTTAAGTAACTGGATCGGTTAGCACAATAGACATAATTAATAATGTCTACTAATAATGTCTTTTGCAGCAACTTGGATGGAACTAGAGATCATAAGTGAAATAATGCAAGAATGGAAAACCAAATACTGCATGTCTTCACCTATAAGTAGGAGCTAAGCTAAGGATACTCGGGGCATACAGAGTGGTGGACATTGGAGACTCAGAAGGAAGTTAAGTGGAAGAGGAGGAGTGAGGGGAGAAAAACTGCCTAACCAGTGCAGTGTGCACTATTTCAGGGATGGGCACACTGCAAGCCCAGACATCACCGTCATAGAATTCATCTGTGTAACCAAAAACCACTTTAAATCTTTCAAAATAAAAAATATATATTTTAGGCTCAGCACCCATAGCACAGTGGTTATGGTGTTGGCCACATGCACCAAGGGTGGCAGGTTCGAACCTGGACCTGGCCTACTAAACAATGACAACTGCAACAAAAAAAAATAGCCGGGCGTTGTGGCAGGCACCTGTAGTACTAACTACTTGTGAGGCTGAGGCAAGAGAATTGCTTAAGCCCAAGAGTTTGGGGTTGTTGTGAGCTATGACACCATGGCACTCTACCAAGGGCAACATAGTGAGACTCTGTCTAAAAAATAAATACATAGAAGTTTTTAAAAATCGTGGCTACTATGACATTTATTGTCTATGTGAGTCATTTACTATCATTTAAAACAGGTATACCTCAAGTAATATTCTCCAAATTAACCAAAGAAGATTTGCTATGAAGGCTTTTTTTCTTAAAAAAAGTATTAAGACATATTAAGTCATCTCGGAAAAGTATTCATAAGACATATTTAAGCCGGGCTCAGTGGCCCACACCTGTAATCCTAGCATTCTGGGAGGCTGAGATGGGTGGATTGCCTGAGCTCAGGAGTTCCAGACCAACCTGAGCAAGAGTGAGATCCTGTTTCTAAAAATAGCTGGGTGTTGGGTGGGCACCTGTAGTCCCAGCTACTTGGGAGGCCCAGGCAAGAGAATCACTTGAACCCAAGAGTTTGAGGTTGCTGTGAGCTATAATGCCACAGCTCTCCACTGAGGGTGACAAAGTGAGACTCTATCTCAAAAAAAAAAAACATATTTAACCACACAAGTCACACCAATTTGCCTTAGTCCATTCATACCAATACAGTAAATCCAACAGAGCTTATGTTTCAGGAAAACTTCTTACAAGGGGCCAAAAGGGGTGATATAGTACTGTAATGACTCAAGGTATCTCCTGGGTGACACGAGAAACAAGGTTAAACATTCCTTACAGATGACTCCATAACCTACTTCTCATTTGTGAAAGTTAATTCATCCTGTGCTAATTAAGTAATGTATCACATCATCTTTTATACTAACAGCAAATGTTCCAATGATACAGGCACCAAGTTAAGCAATCCAAATGGAAAATACTGTTATTATTTTCTATATTTATTAAAAATGTACCAGCCAAAAATTTTGGCTGCCTACAACCATTTCCATCCTTTTGGATGGCAGCCTGCCAGCTCACAAGTTGGTCACACTTTCTTTTGGATTTAGATATTGCACTGGGGGGCCTGACCTCCAAAGGTCATTCTGTAGAAGGGCAATTTATTGACTATGACAACATGTTATTGGTTCTTGTTCATATTTAGCTTAACATTTAAAAAGAACAAAAGGGAAACTTGAAGTAGGAAATCACAGACTAATTCTAATCACTAAGGAAATTTTGTGGAATGTGTTACCATATAGAATAAAAGAATTTTAGAGATGGAAGGAATCTTAAGTTCCAACCCACTCATTTTTCAAAAAAAGGAATGTGAGGTCCAGAGAGGTTAAGTAACTTGCCTACAGTCACATAGTCCCTTCGTGGTAAAACTGGAACTTAAACTCAGGATTTCCGGTCCCTTTTTTCTTGGTCCATTTCTTCCACCATATCATACTACCTTACTATGGCATAAGAGTGGATTAAGACAGCAACAAAGCTGATTCTCTTCTCATAAAATCTACTTAAAAATTAGCTGTCATAAACTCTATTTAAAAATTAGCTGAGGCCAGGTGCAGTGGCTCACGCCTATAATCCTAGCACTCTGGGAGGCCAGGGTGGGTGGATCGCCTTGAGCTCACTGGTTCAAGACCAGCCCCATCTCTAAAAATAGCCAGGCATTGTGGTGGGCACTTGTGGTCCCAGCTACTCAAGAGACTGAGGTAAAAGAATCACTGGAGCCCAAGAGTCTGAGGTTACTGTAAGCTATGACGCTACAGCACTCTACCAAGGGTGACGAAGTAAGACTCTTACCTCCCAAAAAAAAAAAACTTAAAATTAGCTGAGGTTGTGGTGGTTTGGCTGAATGGAGATAATCATTTGAACCATTGTGTTGTCCAGCCCAAAGCCCAATGCCTAGCCAGGGGTCCTCAGACTTTTTAAACAGGGGGCTAGTTCACTGTCCCTCAGACTGTTGGAAGGCCGGACTGCGAGCCCCGGGACGAGTCGGCTGCTAAGCAGGACAGGCAGTGGTGGCAAAAACACCGGGCAGGCGGGATAAACGTCCTAAGTAGGCCGCATGTGGCCCGCGGGCTGTAGTTTGAGGACACCTGGCCTAGCTGATCATGTGGGCACTTAAATGTTTGAAAGGTAACAAATGAATGAATGAATAAATAACTGCTCTAATTTAAGACAAAGAGAAAACTATTCATCACAAGAATTACACTTCTTTACACCAAGTCTAGGGACATCAACTTTCTCTCACAAACTTTTCACCACAGCCTAAAATCACATCAGGAGCCCTGCTCCAAGGCCTGCATGTACACAGCCATCACAAGATAGATAACATATCTGTTAGTGATGTGTACTCAGACAGAAGAAAATAAAACATGTTTCTGTTGAAGATGAGTTTGCTGCACGAGTGTTGTCAGTCTGGCTCTGAAGGTTCTCTCAGAACATGCCTTGTTTAAATTAGTCTGATAGCATCAGTGTAGGCTTGTCCTCCATTTATGGGCATGAGGAGGATGCATGACTAATGCTACTGGGCAGTCAGGGAATCAGTGTTAAAGATTATAGGCACAGTCTCCACCATCACCCCCAAACAGGTTCTCCCTCA